ACCAAACCAATCACAGAGCATGGGAACTTGCATTGTCATTAGTTTATCCTTCCATTTCTGCTTCCGACTCCGACAATGTGGTTTTCACTAGATCATAAGCAGAATGTGAGCGACAGAGTCGTAAGCGGAGTCGGAAGAAATGGAAACCTTCTGATTCTTCTTACTGCGATTCTGTCGCGCTTATGACTCCGCTTATGACTCTGCTTTTTTATTTTCACTAGGTCATAAGCGCTCTTACGACTCCGCTTACGACTCCGACTCCGTCGCTGGTGAACACCTATACCAGCCTTTTAGTCCCATGAGTGGACAACATCAATTTTCTCCTAACAATTATCCATACATCATCGAGAGAAAAGGTTAGAAGAATTCATAAAATAATCATCAAAGGGAAAAGGCTTTGATCTTTCATCAAAATCTCTCAATTAATTCTTGATTAAAAATGGAGATCAGTCTGGTGAATTTGAAGGTGGATATTGGCTCTCTAGGATATTACCTAGTGTAGGGGTGGGAGAAGAGGAAAGTTTGTTAATTTATCTACAAAAGATATTTTACCTTCCTTCCCCCTTGTTATGTAAAACCCCTCCTTTGACTTCACTTGCGCTTTTTTCTAATCCATGGAGAGACTGTCTAATCCTTCTAATCCTGCAAGGCTTCCCAAAAACAAAAGTTTCCTTTTTTACCACCTGTCGCGTCGAACCGAAGGCAAATCTTGTCAGCGGAAAGCTCGCGAGATTATGCGCAATGGTTTCATCTTTCATATCCGGTGGAGGCGAGAGAAGCATTTACAACAAATTTTTTTTAAAGTGTTTTCGTGTCATTTGGACCTGTATATCGACTTCATGATGAGTTTTTTATCGTGGGGACCAATGCAGGAATCTGACATGCAACAGTTTTGTGTCGAAATGATGAAACGGCTCGACCTTCAACGAAGGAACGAGCAGTTCTGTGATGTGGTTCTTGAAGTTGGCTCTGGTGACGATCAAGCTTGCTTTAAAGCACACAGAATCGTTTTATGTGCAGGAAGTCCGTTCTTCTACAATGCTCTTAACAGCGACATGAAAGAAAAGAGAGAGGGAGTCATCAGATTAGAAAACACGAGCAAAGCTGCGATGGAAGAATTGATAGACTATCTTTACACAGGACATGTGGACGTCACGCAACACAACGCGTTCGATCTTCTGGAGATGGCTGATTTTTTTGTCATTCCAAGTCTTAAAGACGTTTCAAGTAAGTTCATCGCACAAACACTGTCTTCTTCCAGCTGTCTAATGGCATATTATTCAGCTGTCAAATATCATTGCGCTGAATTGCATAAAGAAGCGAGGAATTTTATCTGTACACACTTCATGAGCGTAGTCGAGCTGGAAGACTTTCTGAATTTAAGTTTGGAAGAGTTGGAAGAGTGGATTTCAAGTGATGAATTAAAAGTTAAAGGAGAAGAAGACGTTTTCCAGGCTATCGTCAAGTGGTTAGAAGGAAAAGATTGCCGCGAACGTGAAAGATTTTTCGAATTATTTCGTCATGTTCGTCTGCTTTATATGTCACGCAATTATGTCTTTAAGGAGGTTGTACCACATCCTTTGGTAAAAAATGATGAAACATGCACAGCATTTGTCATAGAGGCAATGAAAGATGTTTCATCTGGCTCTGAAGAGTGCTATTTTGCCCAACCACCAAGAAACTGCTTGAAATCAGCAGAAGATTGTCTCGTTTTCACTGATGAAACTTGCACAATCTGCTACCTTCCCACAGAAAACAGGTGGTATGATCTGGCAGACCAGCCTGAGAATTTGTATTTGCACTCTATGTGTGCTTCATATGGAAATCTTTACATCAACAATGCTGATGAACAGACAATTGACAGATATGATCCAGTGAGAAACTCTTGGGCACCTGTCATCCCATCATTGAGCTGTGGTCAGATGCCATTCTGTTCTGTAGCTTTAGTTAATTTCCAAGGGTTTTTATATGTGATTGGTGGGATAAAAGGAAATGAAGATGTAAACTCTGTTTATAGGTACAGTCCTGACATAAATGTATGGCAGGAAGATGCATCCATGAGCATTTCCAGATCTTCACTATCTGCTGTAGCTGACAAGGAAACTATGCATGCAATTGGAGGCCGGACAAAGGATCAGTTACTAGATGTGGTGGAAAGATTTGACCCCAAAACAAACTCATGGTGCAAGGTGGCTTCAATTCTTGAAAAGAAAAGTTGCTGTCATGCTATTATTTTAAGGGATAAAGTGTTTTTATTTGGAGGCTTCACTGGCCCCGTTTTATCTTCTGGCAATATTGAAATGTATGATCCAATATCAAACATGTGGACAGCCATCCAGAGTACATCTGCACCAGAACGCTGTTTTGATGCTTTAAATTTCAAAGGAGCTGTTTTAGTCGCGGGTTCTTGGAATCAAGAAAATTCATCCAATATTTTGTTGAGGGTTTACGATGTTGACAAGAACGANCACTCTATGTGTGCTTCATATGGAAATCTTTACATCAACAATGCTGATGAACAGACAATTGACAGATATGATCCAGTGAGAAACTCTTGGGCACCTGTCATCCCATCATTGAGCTGTGGTCAGATGCCATTCTGTTCTGTAGCTTTAGTTAATTTCCAAGGGTTTTTATATGTGATTGGTGGGATAAAAGGAAATGAAGATGTAAACTCTGTTTATAGGTACAGTCCTGACATAAATGTATGGCAGGAAGATGCATCCATGAGCATTTCCAGATCTTCACTATCTGCTGTAGCTGACAAGGAAACTATGCATGCAATTGGAGGCCGGACAAAGGATCAGTTACTAGATGTGGTGGAAAGATTTGACCCCAAAACAAACTCATGGTGCAAGGTGGCTTCAATTCTTGAAAAGAAAAGTTGCTGTCATGCTATTATTTTAAGGGATAAAGTGTTTTTATTTGGAGGCTTCACTGGCCCCGTTTTATCTTCTGGCAATATTGAAATGTATGATCCAATATCAAACATGTGGACAGCCATCCAGAGTACATCTGCACCAGAACGCTGTTTTGATGCTTTAAATTTCAAAGGAGCTGTTTTAGTCGCGGGTTCTTGGAATCAAGAAAATTCATCCAATATTTTGTTGAGGGTTTACGATGTTGACAAGAACGAGTGGAAGACTTGTGCACATTATCCTCTTCATTTTTCTCCGCATGCTATGGCTCCTCTACGGATCCCAAGAGTAATTTTAAACAGTTGTCAGGTCTTGACATAGGTGCAGGTTGTCTATTGAAAGATCGCCCATGAGAGTTGTACATGTACACAGTGGAACCCTGCTGTTTGACCACCTTGCCGTTATAGTCATTTTAATTTATCCTTACTAAAGACCCTTAAATTTCCTTATAAAAAACCTTGTAACCCATTAACCCTTAACAGTGGTCAGCATGCAAAGAAAGTTGTGTCCGATAGCTCAGGGGCTAGTGATTTTTGTTTTTAACTAGCCCGATGGGCAACTGCTGTTTTTTGGGGAAATTCAAATTACAGAAGGATTGTAATCAATCCTGCTAATCAAAAAGGGTTTTGGGGCTAGTTGAACTGACTTGTGCCTGGGCTAGTACATGCTAGCTACAGCTTGCCCGAATATGAGGCTGTGAAACTGACTTCCTTTACACCCTGGTTGTGAAGGGAAAAACTGACAAAAAATTCAAATAATATTTATTTCTGTAAAATCCTAAAAAATTGGACATAAGCCCAGTTAACATCATCCTCAGGAGTTGGACAGTTGAATCATTGGGTTCAGTCACCTTGTTATAGGTGAACTACTTTGATGTTACATATAGGGCACAATGCCCATGCATTTGAGAAATGCCCTTAATTTGTCCACTACTCTAATGCACTCTAATGGCCCAATTGTAAAACTGTAACGTTTATTTTCCCCACAAATTTACCTTTCTAACAGGCCAATTACAGCAAAATGTGCATTTTAAAAGACAAACAATTGGCAAATGAAAATTGATATTCTTTTTTATCTGACCGTGTCTGTTAAGCATCATATTGTTCACTGCCATTAATATCATTCATTGATTTTGCAATGTAACAGCTTATGTGGCAGTCGTGATTGATCCTAGTATATTTATAGTAATAAAGTAACACCTTAATGTTACATGCAGTTTCTTTTATTGTCTGCACAGAGTAGTATAGTAGCTGCTTGTAAGGTCTCTCCTAATTGGTAGCAGCAAACAATGACATGTCATTCTTTCAATTGTTTTAGTATTGTTTGGGGTCAGGGTTAGGCAACATCGGTGACTCTTCCGAGCAGCTGCTACATGACCCTCCGCACAGGCCTTTTCATGTTGGAGGGAGGTTGAGGAGAGTGGAAAAGTAAGGTGCATGGAGGATGATGCGAAGGGGAAAGAGAAGAAGAAGAGAGGTTCCTGCCTATTTCTTATTCTTATCGTCCACCTGTGCTTGCTATTTTATTTATTATTAATATTTTTATTGAAATGCGCATGCAGAGCCTCTCCGGAGGAGAGAGCAAAGTTTCTTTCACTGAAACTTGCATTTCATACTTACATAATAATATAAATAAAGTTTTGATCATGTACACAGACAGCTTGGTAATAATTTAACTTGATTATTACCACCCAATTTAGAGGTGGAGAAAGGAAAATGCAGCTTAATTATTTTAGTCATTTTCCCCTTTCCTTTTGAGTAATTTCTTAATACCTCCTGCAACAGGAATTCCCTGCAAATATGGCATTGTATTCCCAATAAAATTCAAGCCTTTGTTTGCAGAATTGTTGTTTTGAATTGATGGTTATTTTTACATTCCATTCATTTTTATGTAATTCACGAATCGACTTGTATTTGTGTGTATGTAAGTGGAAGACTATTGAATCCAGGACTGTTTATTATTATTTTAAGTGTCATTGTCTGAGAAAGTGTTCCAGGGGCCAAAAGTTGTGGTCAACCGATTTGGCTGAAACCTGGCACAGAAGTTGGGTATAATGAGATATTTCAAAAGCCACTTTGGCTCACTTCTCTGAGTTTTAGTTTTGGAGTTACAGGGGGGGTCTCATTTTTTGCCCTTTGAGCACCAAAAATCCAGCCTTCCAGGGGGCATTTTGAAAGTGTGATAAAACCCCACTGGTAAATTGTGCTACCAAATGAATTTGACCATGAACTCTACTATAATAGAGCTTTCAGTTCATGCATGTAACTTTGTCCTCAAGGTATTGCACAGAGAGGAGCCTGGGGCTAGAGTTTGGCCAAAATTGATGTTAAAATTACAACCCAAAATAGCCATTTTTCAAAATTTCACTATATTCACCTGCCTTCTTGCATAACTTCCAAACCT